TTTTTTTTTACAAGTACTGCGGGTGAAATCCATGGACTTGAAGATTCCTCTATCACTCCCTGATTTCTCATGTCCTCAATAATTTTATTCACTTCCTTTCTCATTTGTATTGGGATTCGTCGTGGAGCCTGCTTTATGGGGGAAGAATCTTTTACGTTGATAACATGTTCCCCTACCCGACAATTCCCAGCGATAACATTCTCCGAGAACACATCTTCAAATTCATTTAAAAATTTTGCAAAAATTCCTTTTTCATCTTCACGTAAATTTTTGGAATTTTCCTCAAAAAGAGATTTTAAATTTACAGGAACGTCATAACAATCTTTTATACGAGAACAATTTATATCCTTTTTAATATTAAATTCTTGCTTGACAAAACTGGAATCAAAAATATTTTCTAAATTTATCTTTTTAAGAAAATCAGCTCCCAAAATATAATACATTCATCGTCTATTTTTGCTAATAACATCGGAATTTCTACCAAATAATTCCCAATTCGAACTTTTACAAATGTTTTACTTTTAATCAAGACTTTTTCCCCTGTAGGATATTTTAAATTACTGTCGCGTCCGACGCGTATGCGAATTGCTCAATAACTTATATATCCCCTTTTTTTTTTTTTTGTGGTTTCCCTCTCTCGAATACGTTTCCGTTTCTCGTTCTTTCCCCCTTTTTATAATTCGCTCAAACGCGAATATTGTGCTGTACCTTCGATATTATATAAAGTAATAATCTAATGTTATACAATCTGACATTGTGTTATATACTCAGTACTATAAAGTAATAATTTAACGTTGTAGTATTCGTTCACATTATATCGCGCATTTAATATTACATAAAGTAATATTATAAGGATCATTGATATTATGTTACACATTTAATAACATATAAAGAAATAATTTAACATCATAGTATCAGTTCGACATTGTGTTATGCACTCAACATTATATGAAATAATAGTTTAACGTTGTAACATTCAGTAATGTTGAGTTGTACATCCAGTATTATATAAGGTAATGATTTAATATCATAGTGTCGGATTGATATTATGCTGTGCGTTTAACGCTATATAAAATAATAATTTAATACTATAATATCAGTTCGATATCGTGCTATATGTTTAATGTTATACGAAATAATA